TTCAGGCATTAGAGGACTCAGTCCAATACATGATACAAGGCCCAATGTATTTAAAGGATAGGTTCACAATTTTTCAAGTCTGTTTCAAACAAAAGTCGGATGCACACATGTCTTATACACACCTACTTTATAGAAAAAATGTTGGCATTGTGCGTTTCTGCAAACCGAATCGATACGTTGAATTTTGAGATTTTTTAACCAAAAATGTGTTTCATTTCAGCCTCGTATCACGCTTGCAGAAACGCACAATGTGGTTAAATGATAAGTTAGGTTAAAGAAACAAAAGTAACGTAACAACGTTAAGTAACAACGTAACAATAAATTGTAACGTAGCAACGTGACAATGTAACGTATCAAGGTAACGTAACAACGTAACAATGAAACGTGACAACGAAACGTAACAACTTAACGTAACAACGTAACGTAACAACGTAACGTAACAACGTAACGTTGCTTGCAGTAATCATTCCTGCTGTTCAAACTGGCCGTTAAAAAGTAGAAGTGACGACACAAAGACATGCCATACTCTTTGTGGGAGGTCAGAGCCTCATATAAAAATTTAAATGTAAAAAAATAATACCACTATCTCACAATCACCACATCATCTGTAACAGAAACTTACATACTTGACCACATTCAGGTCGTTCTCAGGCCCAATTTTCCACCTGCAGATCAGTCACAATGAACATCCGTTGGCAGGAGGTTTTAAGAAACATTTAACAGAGTCCCAGATTGTGGGCTGGTGTGACATTAAATATGTGTGAATGTCCCACTCTCACGAAAGAACAACTGAGTCATTGTCACTCATAACTAAAACACACACACTTGTGTTTGTGCTTTTGTGATTTCCTCTGATTGGTGTTCAGGCTTTAGCTCCCAATTTATGTTCATCGTATGGTACAAGACGTTAAATGGTAGCAAATATTCACGTTTTGTTTTTTCTACCTATTTATCTTATATCTTCTCAGAAACTGTATGACAGCATTCGCAACGAGCCTTTCAAAATCCCAGAGGATGATGGGAATGATCTGACTCACACCTTCTTCAACCCTGACAGAGAAGGCTGGCTCCTTAAACTTGGTAAAATATCTGTATGACTAATTATGAGTAATTTGAGTATTATTAAATAGCTAATCATCAAAATCTCTACGACACATGAGAGTATGTTTAAATGTGCTCCGTGTTGCTATGCTACATTAAATCTAACTAAGCTGCAACATAAGACTAAGAACAGGAAAGTACAGAGGAAGCAGTCAGACAATGACACAATAATGGAGTACACCCTCGTGTGTTTGCAAGCAAACCACTGGTGTTGCAGAAGGTTGACTTCAAATAGGTGACCTCAAAAATGTGTCTTTTGGTCAGCTTGTTGTAAAGTTACACAAACTCTCCTCAGTTTCCACTGACAACTGACAGCACAACAAATAACTGCACACAAATGTCTTTATTTTGTGCTTTCTCTGTATTTCAGGAGGTCGGGTGAAGACGTGGAAGAGGCGATGGTTCATTCTGACTGACAACTGCCTCTACTACTTTGAGTTCACTACTGTAAGGCTCTAAATCTAAACTATGACTAAATCTCATCCACTCCACCCCTCTTTACCATAGACACATTTTTGTCTTTTAAGGGGGGGGGGGGGCAGAGTATCTTTAGTGAACAGTCGATGCCACATAGAAGTGGGATACATCATCTAAAAGCTGCAGCTCAACAGTGTGTGCCAAGTTGTGCTCGACATAAATCATGAATTATAAAATCATTAATAATTGTTTAAAATAGATTGTGAAAGAGCTTACAACATTATTGTGGAATTATATGATGGCCATTCCCATAACCTATTATGTCTCAAAAGATGATGCAGCAATTGTTGTGTTGATACCATTTATACACAGATTTAGTGCTACATTTGAAAATGTTTCCCCCCCTTGAGAATTGATAAAAATGATCAAATATCCCAAATGCCACATAACGACACCAAGATCTTTGGACACACCATAGAAAAGGTCGTTCCGGTGATCGGATGGCGAGCTGGAAACTGCTCAGAAACACCCTTATTGTCATTATACCCAGGAAAGCCATGCATCCTCTGCGTGCTCTAGGTCTTTAGTTTGATGTTGTAAAGTTTCATGTGGCTGTGATTATCCTGGAGGTCACAACAAGTTATTGTATACAGTGACTTCAAGTTCCAAAAGTTGGTCTCACTACAATGAAATGGCTACTATGGGGACTTCATCACATGAATATAATGAGGATCATTGGATCCACAATAGTCTCAGAGTGTTTAGGGACCAGAGTATTTTTGGAATAGGGGAATATAACACATTTACACTGCATGCGAAAAGAACTACATTGTTTTTGACCCAAACTGCATGGGACTATCATAAAGTGGGCTTGTATGTAAAGGGGACTCGTGGGTACCATAGAACTCATTTTCAGACATATCTTGTTTGGATAATTCCTATGATTCAGATGCATGCAACAAAGAGAGGAGGTCATGGTGTAGGGGTCGGGCTTACACAGCATGTATCATCGACACCTTAGACGTTGCTTTTAATACTGATGGCAACCCTCCCCTCTTTCCCAAAAATCGACTGATCAGAAAATGCTTGAAGTTAAATTGGTCATATTCGAAGGCCTTTGTTGGCCAGATGGCACAGACAAAATACAAGTGACTTTTTTATCTTAGAAGTCAAAAGGTACACCTTTGATTCGTTAATATTTCATTATCAGTGTAGTTTGTTTCAGCTGTTATTATCAAAATGTGTCACAAATTTTTATAATTTGTGATTCTCCACCTCTTCTGCTTCCTTTCTTTTCGTGACATCAATGACATTTTTACCCGACTTTGTACCCTGCTGATGGATCCATCATCTGACCCAGTCCGTCTCATTTTAATCTGTCTGCAGGATAAAGAGCCCCGAGGAATCATCCCTCTGGAGAACCTGTGTGTGAGAGAAGTGCCATATCCCCGCAAACCGGTACGATATTGTCAGCTGACACGTTTACAAGCTTGTTGTATCGTATTGAATAGTGGACCGTCCTGTGGATGTAACGCTTAAATCAGATCAATAGATTTTGGATTCATAGAGTAATCGTCGCATATATCTGGTGTCGCCTAGTACTGTCTGGAGCTGTACAACCCCAACAGCCGAGGGCAGAAGATCAAGGCGTGTAAAACAGAGACGGACGGCAGAGTGGTGGAGGGGAAGCACCAGTCCTACACCATCTGTGCTGCCGGCGCAGAGGAGAGAGACTCCTGGATCGAGGCCATCAGGTCAGACCACAAACACATTTTACACACAAATAGCAGCATTGCACAGAAACATTTGAATATATTGTGTAACAACACATGCAAGTGTCCCCATAGTCCTGTTTGTTTGTATTACTGTGAGGTCTGCTATTACATAAGTTAGTTATTTTCCTAAGCATTTTTGCATCTAACCTTAAAGAGTAACTCTCCAGTAGATCGACCTATATTTAGTGTTTGTGGTGAGGCAAAACGTCCTCACAACGTCCTAACAATGCAATCGGTCCTCATGAAGACAGTATTATGAACCCACACACACACACACACACACACACACACACTAATAAAGCTGCATTAGCCTCTGTATAATGATGCTCTTTACTTCCAACAGAGCGAGTATCACCAAGGATCCGTTCTACGACTTGGTGTCGGTCCGTAAGAAGAAGGTGATAAACCAAGCTCCTCAGGACTGAGTGGTCTGGCGCCCCCTATGGACATTTAAAATAGTGCACCACAGTGGTGCTTAAGTTGTATTAAACACCCTGCAATACAAGTGAGCGAGGACACTGGAGGCCAGACACTGACGGTGGTCGTCTAGGCTAAAAGAGACTTCTCTTTCCACTTCTCTTTTTACAGGCTGAGCTAAACAGTGTCAAAGGTGAAAACGTTGACAAATTTTTGCTGCTCACACTTTCAGTGCAACAAGCCACAATAATTTGTTGATATATCTTCTGCAACGAGAACTTGATTTTCGGTTGATATCTGCCTGCTGCACAAGATTTAGTTTCCAGGATCAGGAAGACAAATTAAGCATGTGACGCCCCAGCAGAGCTACTGTACGCTACAAAAAGGGAAGATGTTTCTGAGCTTCCTAACACATGACATAAGGCTTAAAGGCAGTAAAAAGGCGTGAAAAGAGAGCTCTACCTGATACGCTACTGTTCCGGTTAGGTGTCATTTGAGGGCAGTTGCCCATGCTTCATTTTGTAAATACAGATATATTTACTCACATAAAACCACTCTTTTGATTTTATTGCAATTTGTACAGTGTATTATATGAAAGAAATGTTTTAGCTCTGCCTTTTATTGTGTCAGTTTGTTACGTTCTCTTGACTTAATTGATGAAAAGTATTCTACAGCTTGTTGACATGAGAGACTGGATCCTGTTTTCGGTTTAAAGAGCAAATTGACAGCTGTGTTTCTGGGTGAACGCTTTCTGAAACCATCCGACCACACCTCGTTTTTTCTCATATTTACAGTGCGTGTGTTTGAATGCTGATGTGCTTCTTTGAGGGTGAAACATCTAAACCACCTTTGTGGTTCAGAAACTAAATAAAATAAAATGTAAATTAATAAAAATCGTTTTATCATTTTTACTGCATATATATATATATATATATATATATATATATATATATTCACCTGACAATAACGATGTATTTATTGTAAACTTCATGGTTTCATTTGTTTAATCATTCAGCAACTGTTCTGCTTTAGGATGAACATTAAGATGCAATTCTCACAGGAAATATATCTTCATGGCTGCTGTGTGTCACTAAAACTAGTCTAAAAACGAGTCAACGCTTCTTCCTACTGCACCTCTGACTTCCTGTTTTAGTGTTGCACCACATCCCCCCCTCAACCCCCCCATCAACTCAGCCCTGACTTCCCATCAGGTCTGCAGTTCCTCTCTGAGGTCTGAGTTGTGAGCACACGCCCAGAGAAGAGAGGCAGGGGAGGCAGCTAGTGGTAGGTTTGTGCAGCGCAATCATCACTTTTCCATCTGGAAATGTTGCATTACTGAGTCTCACCACCAGGTGGAGCCATCTCCAAAGTGATGCCTCATGTTTGAAATGACACGAATTCAAAATATATAAAAAACAGTTAGAATTTCAATGAAAAGAAATGATTAGGTTTGTTTTCAGACTACAATTTATGGACAATCTTAACCATTTATTGAACACACTGTAGAAGACATCCCACGACTTCAAAGTGTGGCAAAAGCACATTGAAATAAACACTGTGCAATATTATTTCACAGATAATTGACAACAAAGAATACAGAACAGTATTGCACACATATAAAGGCCCACAGTACCTCGTCACCACAGGGGTAGATCATTGTAAAACCTTCCTTTGGTTTGGTTTTGTATGGTATGAGAGTCAGACAGAGACAGAAGAGAAATCAAGGCCTCACGATGTCCTGCTTTAGGTTTCTCAGAGAGGGTCTGACCCATCTTTAATCATTGCCCTGCTGGTCTGGACTTGACCTCAGAGAAAGGCTTCCTTTAAATGCTCTTGTCCCCGAACACCTCCTCTGTTTGCAGAAATAAAAACCCAAGTTTAACCAACATTCAGCGACTATCTCATTAACCCTCTCTGCAACCCACCAGGGTAACATGTATCCCTGAGCATATTGATTATTGACTTCCACTTTAAATCATGCACCAAACAGGAAAACTGCACGAGTCAGTGCAGCAAGAACTGTGCATTCATTTGGTCTTCCTGTAAGGCGCCGGACAGAGTACGTGCAACATTGCACAGTGAGAGGTGAGTGTAACGGAAGTCACTTTGTAATCCTCTTTATGAATGTAGTCCGCTCTGTAGTTCACCTCAGGACACGCTGCATTGTTTTGCTTGACGACGACCCTGAAGACCTTTGAGAAAAACAACAACAGTGACATTATTAGAAAGATCGCTGAGATAAACGAGATAATTATGAGGAATTCATGAGTCAGGATCCATAGAGGATGTCTCTCGGCATGTTACCACTATATTATATTATATAGAAGAATTTCTGATACCACGTTGTCCTCCTCGATACCAAGTACCTCCGCTAGCACCTTCCTGATAAGGTACTGAGCATGTGCAACTCTCAGCAGAGATGGGTAAAATTTTGGACGCATCGATCGTCTTTGTCCGGAGATGATGATGGAAGTCGCTAACAAGTGAGCCGTCTCGCTTCCATCCCATCTCTGTTGAGGATTGTACATGTAAAGGTACCGATCGGGCAGGATGTCCGGATCAATGGCGAGCGACATGTTGTTTTTCCTCAGTCGTGTAAATCTGATAAATGATATGATAACGTGATATTGGATCGGTGCATAGACTCGTGTACTCGCCGATAACGATCCAGAATTTTAGACATATGAGAGGAAAAGACAACTTGTGACCCACTGTTGTAAATGTATATAGATTATGACCGAGCTAAGGAGTATTTCTTTCTACATTAAAGATAAAAATTCAATGTTCTCCCTTTCTATCCTGCTAATTGTCTGATTGTGGTTGTGAACCACTGGATTAGTTTGTTTATTCTGGAGCACTTTATTCCTGACTTACCCTCATTGTCCTGTGCTGTGTTGATCGTTTGCTCAGAGTCTGTCCTCTGGCCCAGTTTAGTTTTCATAGTCCTCCTTTTGGGTGGAGATTTCACGATAACCTCAAAGTTGTCCTCGTTCTCATCCGTCCTATTGGTCTCTCCTGGTGAAGGCTGCACACTGCCCGTCCCAAGGTTGTCCAAAATTTCCTTACTGGACAGTTTCCTCCTGGAAAATCTCTGCCTCCACCCGGCTCGCCCCTTCTTGTCCACCTTCTCACTGGTGGCCACTGGTGGCTCTCCTGGGTCCATCTCCTCAGCAACCTCAGCCAGAGCCGACCCTCCCGTGGGTCCCGGCTCCGTTGGACGTGGGGTGTCCCCAAACACCAGTGAGTATTTGGGGTTGTAGTATTTGTGCGCAGGCACCTGGATGTCAGCTTTCCGTGAATCCCCTAGGCTAACCTGGAAGCGGGATGTGGTCGCCGGTAGAGGTGGGCGTATGGTCCCCACTTTGGAGCGTATTGCCACGTTGGCAGCAGGTGGGCTGAAGTGGAACTCCTTGTAGAGGTCCAGCTTCTCAGAGACGGCGTAAAGCTCACGGAAGTCGCGGTCAAAGAAGTCAACCACCTGCCCCGTCATCACAGTGATCATGTTCCGGTCCATACGAGACGTACACCACGAGAAACTGGGACGGAGACAAGCTCAACAAGTTAGATCTTTAGATCCCGTGTGTCCTCATTGGTCCATTACATTTACAACAAAGTCATTATATGAAAAACACATAACAAGTGCAACAAGCAAGCGTCAAACACTAAGGCATGCTGATGATGAGAGTTCCAAGCCTCAACTGTGCTTTGTCAAGACAAATGGTAGAAATGCTAACACGCTAAAGTAAGAGAGTGTAGCAGCTAAACACTAGCAACATCATTTAAACGTCACTGGAAGCTGCTGTCTTGACAGCTGTGAGTACAACAATAGCCATGTTCGTTGTTTGTGTTCATAATCAGAATTTTGGGGGGAAGTGGCTTTGGGGGGAGGCCTGAAGGGACCGTCAGCGTTCATGATTAGTAAACTTGTCTTGCTGGATTTACTGACTTTTGTAACTAGTGCTACTTTCATTGGGAAAGAGTTGGCAACATTTAAAATAAATCTAGCCCACTCTTTGCTAGTTTCTCAAGATTATCAACCCTGGCTTTAATACACGTGATAAGAAATGTACGACGCATGCAACACAAACACACATTCTATTACCAAGAAGTGGAAACAGGTGCTGTATAAATTGGCCAGTTAAAAAGACATACACTGACAGTCAGACCTCACCTGTACGAGCCAAACACGACTTTGTCCCCGTCTACCAGCATGTACTTATTGCAGAGTGAACCAGGCAGTCTGCCGAAGGACAAACCGAAGCCAGTCCCCTCAAGCGTTCTGGTTCGGAAGTTCTGCAGCCACAGAGGGTCACAGTCAGACCATGGACGGGAAAACAGCACAGCCAGCAGTGTCATCATTCTACCAATACTAGATAGGTTACATGTTGAATATGAGAAGTGTCAGGACCCCTCCCCTAAAAAGTTCACTGCACCACAACCGTTCAGTGGCCAGTTAATGTTTGAGGCGATGATGTTTGCTGGATTCATAACTTCACTGGAGTGTGCATGTTATTATCTCAGTCTACTGATACTCTTACCTTCATCCACAACAACATTTGTCTGATATGTTATGGATATTCATATCAGTTATCTTTCCAGATTCACGTGGCTTGACTAGATCATTAGTTTAGAGCTTTAGCGACATTCTTCTGTCTGACCTCAGAGGGTTTTGCACAGGTAATGACTTTGTGGCTGAAATGCTATGCTACGCGTTGTGAAAGTGATCATATCATTCTACGTATGGCGGCCCTGGGTACATGTATCAAAACAAACAATAATCAATACTTGAACATGTGGTTGTCCTCTTGCCACCTGTCTTTGCTAAATTCATCTCTTATGTAAAAGTACCATCTTACCCGAAGGTGCTGTGAGCCGATCTGCATCCTGGAGCAGATATCCAGGAAGTGCGGCACACCTCTGTGATCCAACAAGATGTAAACGGGCACGGAGCGCCGACAGGACGCGTCCATCAGGTCCTGCAGGATCTGGACGTCTGTGAGCATGTCCATCACGATCGCTATCACCTGCAGGAGGACAGGAATAGTTTCAAAGTATTTTAAAATTCATATTCATATGTTACTCTTATCCACTGCTGGGTTTCCAGTTCCTTAAAACCCCTCGAAAAAGAACAATTGGAGAAGCAGCTTTTTTCATTCATGCTCCGAAACTGTGGAACAGAACAGCCCAAAAGCATTAGAGCCCCTTTCAAGCAACATTTAAAAACATATCTATCTCGCCAATAGTTTATTTCTTAACAGCACTTTATGTGCGTCTCACCGAGTCCCACATCTGTCTTTCAAATGATCTTTTATGTATTTAAAGTTTTATGTCTAAACGTTATATATTTATTTAATTATTGTTGTCAATAAATGTAAACCGTTTTCTAGTTTTTATTCATCTGTTGAAACTTTTAAATGACACTTTAAGTGTAGGTGCTAAATGCATGCTTTCTTCTGACCAATTTCACTGATTTAAAAGGAAGGTTTTCTGTTTTTATATATTTTTAAATGCAGATCACTTTGAGCTACATAGTCTGTATGAAATGTGTTGTATAAATAAAGATTATTATTATTATTATCATATTCAATGCATTCAGAAAGTATTCACTTCTGAGTATTGAGAATTAATTTGTTTTGCTGCAGCCTTATGCAAAAATAGTTTAAATTAATTTGTTCCTTGATTAATTGTCACTACATACCTCAAGAAAGTGAAAACAGGATTTCAGAGATTTTTTTGAAATTTGTTAAAAAGGAACAAAATGAAACGTAACATCAACATTTGCTTTGATGGTTGAAATGTTGCTCAGGCGTGAATCTTGATCATCTTTAGTGTTTCTACAGCTTGAATGGAGTCCACCTGAGGTGACTTCAACTGATGGGATGTAATTTGGAAAGACACACACACACACACACACGCACACACACCCATCTATATGAGGTCTCTCACCTGACAGTGCACATCAGAGCAAACACCACCATGATCTGGGGAAAGCTACAATAATATCTGCTACAATAACGTGGGAATTACACTTGTATGTAGATTAATATACTTTGCCTTTGGGTCAGTTTGTTTTAAATCCTATTGTGTCAGGAATGAAAACACATAAACACTAAAAAGCCTGAATGTCAGCGTCTTATTAGACGGCGAACAAAGAAAGCAGCAGGTGAAAGTAATCTGTCCAACCGAAGCACTTCCACATGAAAGAGGCTTATAAGCGGATGAAGGAGCCTCTGTAGTATCCCTCTGCTGTGCTCCAGTCAGGCTGACAGACCATATACTGATTTACAACAAGAGATCAGACTTCACTCTGTCTTCAGAAATGTTTCCACGCAGCTCTTGCTTTCTCCTCCGTCGCAGCGCTGGAACAGTAGAGGTTTGCACTTTGCTGTGCTGAGCCGGTATCATGTATTTAAGCAAAACCAAACAGATGTACGTTGACTTTTCCTGCAATTAACTGCAACTTGTTAAAAACTAAATGCTGAAAAACAGAAGTCATTATAGGGGAGTGCATCCGTTTTAAACCACTGTGTCCATGTGTGCAATATGTGTTGATATTGTGTGAATCCTGCATCATTAATTAAAGAATGTCAGGATGAAAGTGAACCAGCTAAAGGTTGATTACGTAAAGTTTAAAGTCGACCACGGAAAGTTTGAGGTTGACTACAAGCTAACGTTTAAACAAGAGTTTACTTCTTACTGAGATGACTGCCCCTAGAGGCTGAAACGTTCATTACGCCAAACAATATAAAAGTGTTGGATGGAATAAAGAAAATACTAATCTGATCATTTTGTTATTATCCTTACCGGTGGTGTTGCTTGTTCCAATTTCAGACCCGACTATATCAACCCAAAGATTTGATGCATCTGGAGCAAAAATATAAATTGAACGTTGGATACAATAATTCTTCTTGTTTCTATTCAGCTTAGTGTCACAGCGGAGGACAATCAACACTGTGTCTGCAGTGTTGTGACGCACAGATGTGACTCATCTGTGCTTTGCATATTGTTTTTAGACTTCCTGTCAACTTTTGCACATTCCTCGGACCAATTGGCTCAAAACTACAACTTCAAAAAAGCTCTTTCATTTACATTCAGATATATTGCATTCATTTTTAATTATTTCTCCATACTTTGTCATTTTCTTTTGTTCTTGATTGTTGCAACACCTTCTTTTAACTTTCATTTTCTCTTACTATGTTTATGTTATAAACCAAAGCACATTCCTTATTTATGTGCAAACCTACTTGGCAATAAACCAGATTCTGACACGACGAAGCTAAAGAGAAATGTTTCTCTTCTTTTTTTAATTTCAGTAAACCCGTCAGTGTTTGCCCTCAGATCAGGAGCATTGTACCGAACTGTGGACGCTGTCCTCGGCACACAGGTGCCGTCGGTCTGAAAGTAAACTGCTCATCAGGTTTGGAGAAGTCTTGTGTGAGTTCCCTTTTGTCCTGAGGAGGGTGCCAGAATGTCAGAGAGTCTAACACGAACAAAAAAACGGGTTAAAAAGAAATTCAGAACAAGCTGCCCATTTTATTATTTAAGTAGTTGATGATAAAATGTGCGTGTTCCAATAATCAGATATGACAGATGTGCAGGATTAAAGATTCAAGGAGCGTCCTTTCAGACGTGTTGAAGCAGAGGATGAAGGTTTTAGGAAACGTGTCACTCGACTCCTTCCACTGTTTGAAACGCTGAGTCATGGAAACAAAATGTCTCTTTTAAAATGTGCAACAAATGTTGTTCTGTGGAGCAGAAGAGGCCGTTTGTTTCCACTCAAGAGTCTCGCTGAGGAAGAACATGCCGATCGGACAAGTGAGGGTAACAACGGAGACACGAGCTGAGACGTGTGAGTGCAAACAAAACACAACTACAACCAATGACAACGCATTCAATATGTCGGTGAACTGGTTGCTCAACTTGTGTTATCTCCTGTGTGTGTGTGTGTGTGTGTGCGTGTGTGTGTGATTCTAAGAATAACTCTCTGCCTTACTGATAATTGACAACAAAGCAGTTTGTTTCATTCCACAGATGTAAACCAAGCAGAGGTTTTATTTCTCTTTCTTTGTCTGACTCCACCCACAAACACAGACTTTGGTACAGTATAATATGAAGTTTAGTACACACACAGCTGCTTTATTACAACAGCAACGTATACCTGCTGTAGGCCCAACACAACCAGGAGGCACAGATGTGTGGAGTGAGATTACTGTAGATTACCTTTTTTAATTTCCATTAAAGCTCACAACCAGGGAAAAGAGCCGTCTTTGTTTCGCCCCCTGCGATGCTTCTGTACGGAAGGTTTGAAACCAGGAAGAGATGAAGAAGAATAACACGAGCAAGAAACAGAAACCCAAAGAAGGGTTGGGAGGAAAGACAGAAAGGGGACTTCTGAAGAAAGTTAAATGGAAATCCACAGATGAGTTACGTAATAAAACACCACTTGAGAGTGACCCAGAAGAGGCAGGGTGTTACTGGGAGCAGGCGGAACAGATGACTCAGCAGAGCTCCGGCAGTCTATGAGCAAACATTACGATGGGCAACTCAAACACACAGATCCATTTCACTTACTGTGTGTGTGTGTGTGTGTGTGTGTGTGTGTGTGTGTGGAGGTATTCACCACTCAAACATCCACCCCGCCTATGTTCTCCTGCATGAGACAATAATCTCTTTTCTTTCAGAAGATAGAACATAAAGTCGGTGGTTCCAGCTTCTCAAATGTGAATATTTGCAAGTTAGTTGTTTATAACTTCACTTGTTAGTTGCAGCTCTATATCGTTGTTATTTCTGCAAATAGACTCAAATGTGTAGGTTTGAAAGGTTGCACTGTATCCTCACAGCCTCTGTAATTATGTCTTTATAACTCTAATATTAAAAGATGACATCATTATATTTATAATGTCATTATTATATCTATAATGTCATGTATTCACCTTACTGGCCTCCTGGATGAGTCGCCGCACCACCTCCTTGATGTGAGGTCCGTTCTCTTTGGGCGGGTGCGTGTGCACGGACACCCGGGTGACCCCTCTGAAGAACCCCCCGCCGGGCCAGCCGATGTCCAGCGGCGGCACCTCGGTCTCCGACATCTGGGGCCAGTAGGTGGAGTGGACCCCCGAATCCGCGTCGGTGCCGCCGGCGGCTCCCCGCGGTTCCGCCTCCGACCCGGACGGCTTTGCTTTGCCGCTGCTGCTGCTGTCATCATCATCATGCACGTCGTACGTTTTGAAGGTGCTCACCACCAGCTTGACTTCTCTGGCCGATAGAAAGTCTTTCATGTTGTCCTCTTTCAGGCGCGTTTTGAAGGCTCCATCGCCGTTCTTGAGCAGCTCCTCGACGGCCGCGCGCTGCTCCTCGCTGTAGTAAAACTCCGGTTTGGACTCCGGGACTTTGACTCCGATGTTGCCGTCCTCCATGCACTTGAGCTGGGACTCGGCCATGGCTGTGGCGGCGGTTACCCACTCTGAACTCCCGCAGAGTGTGCGTGTGTGTGACGCCAGATAGAGAAACAAAAATAAAGTTGGGAAAGTTTTCTTACCTGTCCGGGTGGGAGAGGGTGGGGCTCGTGGAAATAAAGCCATGCTGCCTTCAAGAGCAAAGGGAATAAATACACTGGAATAAAGACAACACACACAGACTGTCAAAGTGTAAAATGTAGAACAACATCATAATGTTCTTGTTTGACATCTGTTCCATAACCTCACCATTCAAATATAAAATGTATTCATCTTTTAAAAAAACTGGATTTTGGGGGTTTTGTCGGCAGAATGACCAACTTCCAGATGTAACTTGAACGCAGCATTAGTTCCTGGCTGGTGCTGTACAGACATGTCGGGCTGCTGAAGAGGTTTCTCTCTTCCTTCCGGGGAACTGTCAGTTAAAGACCAACCCTGGTAATACATTGAGCAAACATGACCTTCATGTGTAGACCATAAGAGCCTTAACAGAATGATTGATAAATCCTATATTACTGTTTATTGTGTACATTGTGTTACACCTGTCCTACTTCTACTCTGTTATTTTTAGAATAAGCTGAAATGTAAGTTTGCAGTACTGAATATAAACTAATGTGTTCAACACGTGTTACCTTTTATGACCCTGTACTCACTGTATATGTATATAGTGAGTTATAAATGTGTCACATTGTATTCATGAACCTTTTTTACTTTTTAGTATTTTAAAACAATGAATGAATGAACGATCCAGATGGTTCAGGTGGACCTGTTGTGTTTTCCGGATTGTTACATCTTGTAGTGAGTAGAATGTTACAGATGTCACTTCATGGGACCAGTGACATAACGTGAGGCATTTTAATCCAGATGTGTACTCTATCTGCCCCTCTCAGTCCTGGTTCTGGTTCTCCCGGACCTCCCTTCCCTCCAGCGGGTCCAGCAACACGTCCACCATTTATCATCATCAGAAAATAACTGAGGCATTAACGTGTATCAATTTTAATGTTTTATAAAGAGATTAAATGCTTTAATCGTAAAAAACTTGATGTGAAAAGTAACATTAATGTAGTGGAGTAGAAAGTACAGCAGTTCACTGAGGTGTAGTTGAGTAGAAGTATAGTAGCATCAGATGGAAATACTAGAGTACAAGTACTTCTAAACTGTACTTCAGTGCAGTACTTGAGTAAATGTACTCGGTTACATTCCACCTCTTTACAGGGCAGGTGAAAATAACGTATGAATATTTGCTCTCAATATTAAGGCTCATCACTGTTTTATTAAACCATAATTATAAAATGATGTGTGTGTTTTTACTCTGACACAGAGGGTTAAGCTGCTAGTTTATAGTTCAGGGTTAAATGAAGTATTGGACACGTGTGACGTGTTGGAGGTTCGGCTCCTCTCAGATGGGTTTGGTGTAGTTGGAGGGGAACAGGCCGGTGTTGCCTCTCAGCTGGCCTCTCCACCAGGCCTGGTCGGAGCGCTCCACCACCTTGATGACGTCGCCGGCGTTGAACGCGAGCTCGTCCTTCTCCTCGGCGTCGAAGCTGTACAGAGCTCTGACCTGCAGCCCGGAGGAGGCTTCCTGCTGGAGGAGGAGGAGGAGGAGGAGGAGGAGGAGGACAGACGGGAGGAGACTCATCACACAGACGGACAATGCAGCTCTCATATTGTTACCTACAAAACATTCTTTCACACTTTGTTCATGAAGTGTGTGCATCAGTTTGTGCATCCATGTGAGCTGAGATCTCCAGACTGTCGAACCAGAATTAAATTTGGCAAACAAACAACATGCTATGGTGACGTATATGCTTTTAAATGTAGCTGACAAACATGTTCTCTTTGATAGCATCTTGCCTGGGTAGTTTAAAGAAGAAGCACACACAGTGCTGGCGAGTACCTGTCCTGATGCAGGTGTAGGTGGGCTGTCGGGCTGAGGAGGAGCGGTGGGAGGCGGTAAACTGGCCGAGCCTCGTTGCTTTTAAGACAAAGACAAAACTTCTGTTAACTGTATTTATCATTTATATCAGTATATTTAACAGTTTTATACTTCTATTGACTGTATTTCATGTTGTTGTATTTAAACGTTTTCTGTTCACTGTATTTATATCATTATATTTAACTTTTCAGAATAAAGTCCTCCTATGAAAAAGTACTGATACAAGTTGAGTCCATCACTCACGTCACACTCCCTCCTGCGGGTTTCCTACCTGTTGTCGCGGTTCTTGTAGGAATATTTGACTGTGTTTGGTGATGGAGTTGTTCTTGTAATACTCCACCAGCTGGTTGAGAGAAGGGAACTTCTCAAACCACAGGTAATACTGCCCTCTGCCGTCACGCAGCACCTTGAAGTGCTGCACGTTTGCTGCCTGTCTGCAGAGGAGCGACGCACAGAGCGGGCTTTATTTATCTATATTTATACATTCTATATCTGTCTGCATCCGTCAACATGTGGGAGGATGAGGAAATGAAACCCGACCGGCTTCTTCTTAACAGTCTTTTAATCTCGTTCTGAATACTAAAGGTGAATACTTTGATGCTTTTATTTCATTTTCATTACAAAATATTTTAGAAACATTAACGTGAAAAAAGGGCCCAAGTTAAGGAAGGCCAGAGAGCATCACATTGGACCTGTGAGAGAGAGAGTGTGTGTGTGTGTGTGTGTGTGTGTGTGTCATTTACGTACATTAATCCTTTTCAAGATCAGTGAGTAGATACTATGAGAGGTAATAACCCCCCACACCCACTGTCGGTGTCTTATTTTGTAAAGAATGTTTTGATCCTGTTTGAATCATTCCATGAATCTAAAAGATACATTTGCACGTGGAGAAAGTCTCAGTTTGTATCATTACGTTTTGTGTACGTCGCCAGCTCGGCCGTTAGCTTGTCTTGCTAGCTAACTTAGCTTTGTTCCACACACTCTTCTTCGTCAGCCGGGTCGAGGAAGAACCGGTGAGACCTCGTTAAACACACAGCTTGAGACGTCCCTGAACGCCACTTCAGGTGTGTAATAATTGTGTCTTTTACAGTCTTATACCTCAACAGTTTTAGGACAAAATAACACTTTATTGACGTGCAAAATGATCTTATAAATATACAAACATCACATGTGTAAGTCATTCAAACGGGATTAAAAAAAAGAATTTGTCTCTCGCCATTGACTAACATACATATTTATTCATGAATAAGGTCCCAAGGTAATGACACCCACAATCACTGTCATATTG